TGTGCTCTTTCATGCCGAATTGCGTTATACACGAAGATATATTTCCCTCGTAAATGTTGTCGTTAAATTCTCAGTGCAAACACCGATTACGACGGAGTTTAGCAGTGGTCTATCTCGGTTCAAAGCAAAACACTTCCTAAGGTCGCTCGACTGCATCTCACCAATTTCGTCGTGATTTACATTCGAATCGCGCAACCGACTTGGCTTACGTTTATTAAAGCGCAAGCACCGGGGCTGAAAGAGACTTCTGTCCCCCGGTAAACGCGACGATACACAGAGAGGATTTGAACACAACTTCGGTCGCTCAAATATAACCGCCAATATTCTTGATAAGCGATAGTTAATTAACATGTGTCTCTGTCTTTTTTTTCTTTCTACTCTCATCTTTCGTTCCGAAAGTGTCTCCTTCCGTCGCTTCTACGCGTGCCTTTGTATTTAGTTTAATTTCCTCTTTCCTGTTTCACAAAATATTTAAAGTTGCTCACGTTTCACGATCAAAGGTAACACGAAAATGAGACTTTCGCGAGTGTCTTAATAAATCCCGGCACAAAGAGAGGTAGTAACTTACAAAATAATAACACAAGTTTGTTGAGAAAATGTCGGTTCTCACAATTAAGCTCGTTATAAACATCGCCTGTAACGTTCGCCAGAGAGACTTTGTAAATAAAAAAAATAACGTAAATATCTTTAAGTCGCGGCACTTCTTAAATACAACGACGTAGAAATCTTGAGAATATTGTTCGAATGTCTCTGCGTTTTGATATCGGATCAACAGGCAACAAAATAATATTTTCGTACACACTGATCAACAGGGGATCGAATTTTATCTCGGCGGCGCAGGCGATTCTTCATCCCGAAACTCATTTACGGGGAGGGGGTGCACGGAGTCCGTTAAATCTCGTTACATTAATAAGGACTGCCTGCGGGCAAACAAGTAAGACGAATTGTCATTCCCCTCTCCTCCCCCCGGCGGCAGGCCACAAAGAGGTTCGCTTATGTATCGAAAGGATGGGTGGAGCGACATATGCGGGCTTCCTTCTTTGTTCGGTTACTCTCTTATGCTCCCTTATCGATTAGCTTCCGCATGACAAAAATACGCGCACGCCCTCCCCCACACGACCGATCGTGGCGCACGAGCGATGTGTGTGTGTGTGTGTGTGTGTGTATTTCTGTACGCGTGCGACACGCACATACAACGAGCGCGCGAAGAGTGAGGGTGTATACATCTGGCATTTTCCAATGATAGCGTCCGAACCGTGTATGAGTATTGCCGCGATATTCGATCTATCGATGGCGGCACTACAATATTGTCTGCGCAGTTTCAGTTTGCGATAATTTGCGAAAAAAAGAAAAAAAAACAATACACAGAATATTTTCAAATTATTATCTATTTACGTGTACATCGTGCTGTGTGCAATTGTTGTGCGATTTGTGAAATAAAAGGTTTAAAAATAAAATTCTTCTCTCGCGCATCATCAAGCGCTAATATATTGGAACAAAAATTGAAAAATAACAAATAATATTAAATAATAATATTAATAATAATATTAATAATATAATTTTACTGCTCATGTTATTTTCCTATCTTTATGAGATTTTATTGAATGTATCGATTGATAACGCGCTTTTCGGGAAGGGGAGAGAAGACCGCGCGCGTCCAACCACGTACTTCCGGAAGCGCCAACGAAACGGAAGAAAAAGCGGTAAGTACTCTTGGGATTTTAAGGTTTAATTTTTTTAACGGTAGAGTCATGCGACTCGAGTCCGACGCGCGAAGCCCGTAGAAGCTCTTATCTAGCAATTGCCTTCCGACGGCTATTTGTGCGCACGATCGCGTCGTGTATAAAAACTACGAACAAGGTATCGCAACAAAATTCGCGGCAGACAACGCGAGAATTGGTTTCTAATGCGAGATAATTTTTTTCTCTCTTTTCGCGTCTTCTACTTTTTGCAAAATAAACTTCATAAGTGAGTAAACTTTCTGTGAAAACTAGTTAAGTTGTCATTTGAAAAAAAAAAAAAAAAATATAATCAAAATTTTCTTTCAAAACTATTCCGTGCCACGCCTGTGGACCTTCGCTGCAAATTGTCACTTTTATTATTGGATCTTTTGTGTCACGTGTGTCTCTGTCTGTGTCATGTTCTCGCGCACTTCCTATATCGATTCTGCGTCATATCGAGAGATAGAAAGAAAAGAAGAGAAAGAGAGAAACATAAATGTTTGACTCTCCAAAATTATAAATAAAATATAAGGATAACGTTTCACGTCGTAAGTTCTCGATCTGACTTCAAAATTTTTCGGCTGCCGCGATTTCCTTTAATCTTGATTCTCCTCTGAGTGAGTCATTGGGGAGACTCCGTACCCGGAGTCTGTATAAAAAAAATTACTATTATTTCGTCCAGCAATATACATTTTATATCCAACGTATCGCGTTCGCAGTTTTTACTCTCGTATTTATTTGTTACTTCGATAAACAATTGAAAAAAAAAAAAAATTGCTCAATATCGTACATATCGATCTCGCGCGAGTAACTATTTATATTCCGAGTCAGAACGAACGACGTTGTCACACGCAATTGAAACCTTAGTACATTCTGCATTGTTACGAGAGACCATTAGATGGCTGGGGGGGCCCGACGCGTGCGCAGCCTTTATACGGCAGATGGTGTTGGGTCCGTGTGTGGCGCGCAGCTGCAGACAAAAAGGGTGCCGCGAATGAAAAGGGGGAGAGGAGAGAACCCGCAAAATCGGAAGGACGACCCCCAAACCCCCTGTAACCGACGCGAGACGCCAAAGACCCCCCTCCGTACTCGCTCTCGCGAAAATCTGAAATGATAACCTGTTGGTGCACACAGCCCCTAGGCCCGTGGCAGTTCGCCAATTATTGCTTTCTCGAACGGAGAAAGAAAATTGTCGAAAAATTGCACACGACTCGCGCGCAACGTTTTTTTTTTTTTTTTTTGCTAAATATATAATCGGTGAAAGAAAACGTATTTCGATTTGTGCTCTCGACGATCACCGCGCGCGCCTGTTGCGAACAATGGCGAGGAGAGCTCCGCGCCGGGCGCGAGTAATTGATACATTCTGAGCACGCGAAACGAGCTTGCACGTTCGATCCACGCCGGTCTCCAATAGCGGCACGGTAGCAGTCTGTAAATGGGAAACGCACGCTCTGTCGTTCGTTTAGCAAATTGATTAGTATCGGTAGTAGGGCCATATAATCAGATTAAAGCGCGCGGAGCAGCGAAGTGCTCGTAACCAATCGTATATCAAGATTTTCGAAAATTGACTGCGCGTCCCACTTCGTAGAACAGCGCGTTTATCTAAATCGCATCGAGAACGTTAAGAGAGAATTTATTTCGAGTCGTTATTTTAATGATCTTGCGAGAAAGAAAAAAATAAAGAAGAGTAAATTGCTGTAGAGAGCACGTGACACCGGAAACAGACAGAAAATCATTATTTGGTCTCTTTCTCTGTTGATATTTACAGTTTCCGAAACGTATAGAAAGAGGTATACTCGTACTGTGTTAACTTATTTAACGCTCCATCAGATAAAATGCGACATGTTGAAACCCGTTGCGACTGTAGGCTCATATATGTATATACGTTCGGCTATAGGCTTGTAAAAGTGGTGAATCCACAAAACGAAACAGCAGCTGCAACTCTCTTGGCGCAGCGGGGAGAGCAGCTGTTCTTTCTCTCTCTCCCTCTCTCTTATTCGCTCTCTCTTCCTCTCTCTTTCTCTTTCGCCACTTTCGAACCTAGGTCCCGATTCTGGTTCTGGATGCGTATCTGGCGCGCCATATGGGCGAGGTCTCTCGCACGTACACACCTTCTCTCAGAAAGTGGATTTGCTTAAATAAAGTAAATGTTTGTTGCTTTTGACAAAATAAAGAAAAAATTCCAGAAAATGCACATAAAACAAATAACTCTTGCGATGAGGCATAAATATATAAGTAAGTTAAATTTTATTTTATAGTCGGAGTTTATAAAAGTTTAATTATGTTATAAAATCTCTTTCTCTCTTTCTCTGCAAAAAAAAGAGAGAGAGAGTTCGGACATTTTCAACAGATGTGTGCGAAACAGAATACGGCGTGCGAGAAAAAACTCATTAAACTGAATTTTCTGAAAAATACACACGAGAGATTTCGAATCTCACATTATCTCATATTATCGCCGCGCTAATGAACGTGCCGTTTCGTTTGATTCGTTTTTTCTTTGAACTACAATAACATATCGTTCCCCTTTTGCACATCCTCCACGCGTTTATGGCGTAACGCGCGCATACTTATTACGCAAGGATAATCGCGCGCGTGTCGATCGTGGGCTCGTATCGGCAACGGGCAGCAAGACAAGAGGGTGTCTCACCCTCGATCTGGGCGGCATTGTCCCGCCGATTCTGGTTCTCGCTGCCAGCTGTTGCCATTTTTTTTTTTTGTCTCTCCTCGCTCGTGCCTGCCCCCTCCCCCCCTCTCCCCGAGCTCCTTTGTCAAGCGTCATCCTCATTCGTGCCAACCGATCCGAATTGAAATTAATCAAAAGGGAACGATCGGTCGCACGTGGGCAAGCCTTCTAGCTTCCCCACTCCCTTTCTCTCTGCTGCGCAAAAGCGCTCTTTTCCTCGATCAAAATATTAAATAGTACAATTCCCCCTCGACAATTTTGCTTCGAAGCATCAGGTTTAGAACAATGATTAGGGGAACGGAGTAAAAGGAGGAGGAGGAGGAGGAGAGAAAGAGGAGGCGGAGACGAAAGGGGCGAACAGCCACGTGCCGACCATGGGAATATAATGCCGCAAAGACCACGTGCCCATATATCGGGTGTGTTGGCAGAAAGAGACCACTGGTTGCGCTCTCGCGAGACGCTTATCTTTTTAACGTCCCTTTCGCACAACGTATCCGGTTTCATACGAGACAGTCGGAAAGCGTCGAAAATTGAATTACTCTCGATAAGAGAATTCGGGGAATCTAATCCGTTCAAAATTCATGTGTCGATTGAAATTATCGCTTATCTTGAATTTTTAATTTTCCATCTAAGTTGTATATAACACATCGTTTGTTACTTTATTTCAAATACACTCATATATATATAAATAAAAAATCACAATAGAACGTCCTGATCACAGAAAACAAAATGATTTGTTAGAATAGCAAGTAATTGGTTACTTTACGACCAGCAAAAAAAAACCGTTGCCAAGTCTATTGAGATTTTCGATTTGTTAACAAAAATGTTTTGTTGATGAAACATTCAGTAAGAAAAAAATTCAGTAGACTCTCAACACTTTTTTGCTAGCCGCTTTTGATAGCAAAACTTTTATTTCCGTGATAATTCATATATTTGCGTTCCGTCTTTGTTTTCAGGAACGCGAATTTTTACGTTTTCACAGTATTTTGCAAATGATGATCTCGTTATTTGACAATCTCTCATGGTTCTAGTTTTAGAAGTTTGTTCGAAATATTCTCACGCAAGAATATTGTAAACGGGATTTAATATTGCACCAAAACCTCGTACTCCCTGTGTGGTATTTCCTTCCCGTCAAATGGAACGTACAAAACACCGTGACTTCTCTGAATCTGTCGAACAAAAACAAAATATATGATTGTCGCGTGATATCGCGCTCCCGCACAGGTTTTTAACTGAACAACGTACTTTTTTGTGTTGTGTTTCATATGAAAACATTTATTTCGGTTTTAGCGCACATACCTTTCCTACGCAAGGCGCGCCGTTGTGAAAAGTACGGCCGACGTAAAGCGTTTCCCCGGTCGAGGTTCTGCCACCTTCAACCGCGTTTTCCGGTACATGACCGTGACTCGATTGAACCCAGGTGAAATGGGCGGGCATCAGTACCTATGAGATAGCGCAAACTAGAACGTAGTTTCGAGTTATTGTATCCGTATGCGGATTTATTGCGCAGCGGGGAATTCGACCCCAATCGAGACGCTATAAAATTCGCACTTCTTTTTCGCGACCCCGCCCAAAGGCAAATAGATTAAGCCGCGGGCGAGATTGTGGCTGGATCCTCGTGTGTAAGCCGACCTAGAAGAAATTGATTCGCGGACGAACCCGATCGAGTGCACGCCATGGCAAAAAGAGGGTTCATCTAACACGTGACATCGAGAAGAGACCTCGAACGCTAGCACTGAGTCTAATACATATCGATTATATATATACAGGGTGTTTGAAAAATGTCGACGCGGTCGAAGTGTGAATATAGATCGAGTCAATCTGAACAAAAAAAAGTCACTATCTCGCAATTATTTATTGAGTTATTAATTAATTGATCCGAGCCAATGAGAGTGGGAAGCGATGATTCGAACTTTGTAGACGCGTATGATTTTCAATTTTAAAAATCGCAGAAAGGTTCCGTCCCTCTTGCTAGAAGATTGCGTGAGATAACCTGTTTCTCTTTACAACTGAAAATTATACGCGCCTATGGAATTTGACTCATCGCGGGTTCACTGGCTCACATTAATTAATTAATAACTCGATAAACATTGCGAAGTTTGCAAAAACGACTTATCTCTGTTCAGATTGACTCAATCTGTCTTCATTCACTTCGGCTTTGCTAAAATTTTCCAGACACTCTGTACATAGCACTCGATACTTCGCTCTACTCTTGTTTTTGCTTTATTTATCTGACACATCTTCAGAAAATAATTGCTCCGAGTTATCATCGCGCGCGTCATTTTGAGAAATCGAATGTTCTCCAATGGGCTAAACTCTCATCACGATAAGCCGCAAAACTTTATTTCTATATCCGATCTGTTCGCGTATAACAGACACTCCTTAATTCGCTGTAATTTCGATATAAGGAAAAATATATATACAAGATGACACACAAGGTAAGAAAATATAGAAACGTACTTATCGGAACGATAAAAAAGCATATTTCAATTATCGTTAGGATATCGTCGTTCAAACAGGCTAAGTCACAATCTTATCTTCATCGTTCGAAACAAGACACGAAGTGTTCCGGGAATACGGGAGTGGAAGTGGATGTGTGCGCATTAAAAAAGTTTTACTTGAATCTCTTTAGTTCGTTTGAAACACTAGATGAGCGGTAGTGGTTATGAAACTATGCGGCACGTTCGCTCATATATCGTTTGTATGAAAATCAGAAGCGTACAAAAAAAAAAGTACAAAATATAAGTTACATATAATATATACCGAATTAAATTAAAAACAATAATTCTCCGCGCGAACTAACACCATTGTGTTTAATTAACGAATGACTCATTCCGTGTAATCAGTAACGGAAATTTATTTCGCCGATATTTTCTGCTCGGAATTCCGAGAAACTCGACGTTTTACGTAACAAAGAAATTGTTGATTAAATTTCTCAATTATTTCTCGTTATCTCGGTTGATCATTACCTCGAAGTCGTGTTTTACGTGCTCGTTACCTCCGTGGCACACGTAAGCAACGCCGTGATCCGGCTTTACTTTCGCAGGCAACATGTCACCCTGATGATGGGCTCGTCCAACGACAAGATTCATGCCGTCCATGTCTCTGCCGATGGTGATTAACATATGACGTTCGTGATAAGGCGTCGGCCATCTGACCCATCTGTATCCTATAATAAAAAATCACATCGCGTATTAGTTTTGTTTGTAATCGCCATTTTCATGAAACCGCCGTGACGTTGACAAGCGATGACTTATCGTCGCCGCCTCATCGAATCGATCATTTCTGAAGCAAGTGGCACAGCACGTTCAAGTAGCCTGTTATTATTATTCATTATTATTAAATGAATTGTCGTATTATTATGTGAGTTTTCATCAATATCAAAAGAAGAAAGATTTCATTTTCAGTAAGAAGGATTAAATTTATCTACTTACGAGATTGGTTTATCGTATCTGCTGATAAATTTCTGTGTTTATTACAGATTTTATCATACAATAAATAAGACTTATGTAATAAATTATGTAATAAATAAGATAAGGAATAATTTATAGGTTCAAAACCTTTGGACCTGCAAGGTCAAGTTATAATAACGAATATATATATATATATATATATGTATATGAATATTGTATACTGTAGGGAATATGTTTGATTTGTTTTATCAATCGCGTGTGTGTGTGCGCGCGCGCGCGCGTACGTGTGGTCTGGGAAGAAATGAAATGAATGTTGTATTATAGCCACGTAACACACGCGTGATCACAATTGTCTCATTATTTTTATGTCACTATTTTAGTATTCCAGTCGTTGCTTACCCGGCATTGTAATTCTCAAACAAAAACCGATTATCACACTCTACAATTTAAGCACTATGAATTATACGCTTTCGTATACGTGGCGACACGTTTAAGGTAAGAGTTATGACTGACTGTATCATTACTTTGGGCGTAAACGCGAGGCTCGGGCAGCAAGCAGTCCCACCATTTGAGACCTTATCGGTCCTTATCAGCACGGTAACGCATGTTACTGAAGAGCATGTAGCACGAAAAGCTGTTTTTGTGTGAATTAACACTAAAGCTTTGCATTTGTCACGTCACATAAATAACAGATATATTGTTTCAGGTAGGAAACTGAAATTATATATTGTAATGTAATTACATTTTAACTGTCATATTTTCGAATATATTTACTGAATATAACGGTTGTGAAAATTCTCACGACTCGAAATCGTATGATTACAGAGAAGAAATCACGCGCTCCAAGATAAATAAACAATTTCTAACGTGCTAAATAAACACCTTCTTTCGTTAAAATTCATTAAGTATTATTAATTACAAAAAAAATGCTTTCTATTAGATTTTTAGCATTATATCTCTTGATCGTTATTTGTTTTGTGTTGTTCGAATTCGACCTGTCGATAGACATCAATTGTTTGAATAAAAAAAGACGGAAAATATTTTTCTAGGATAATCTCCAAGTCACGAGAACCGTTCTCAGCCGTTACATACAAATATTCGAAAATACGATAACTAAAATATTTACAATACAATATAATTTCAGTTGCTACATCTATTGCAAAATAAGTACAAGATAACTTAGACAATTGTGTTTTATTTATATTGTTAGCAGAAACTTTTTATAAAATATTACCTCACCTTTAGTATTACGCAAATATAAAAAAAAAAAAAAATTCAATCAAACTCAAAAACTCTGCAGATGTACAAAATCTCGAGATATGTTATTTATTTTCTATCGTTGCGAACGTGATGCATCACGCGGAATGGATCGGCGAAGGTATGAACTTTCTCATTCACGAGCAGCAGGAAGCGAGCGATTTGCCGCGCTCATCGCTCGCGAGCAAAGAGAGGCTTCCCCCGGAGCTCTTGTGTGTATCGCCGTCGTGCAGAAATACGTGTTACGTCCTCGCGATTCACGCTTCGGGCAACTGTGCGCCGAGTGATCGCTCATTACCTTCAGGTGGAATCGTGTGCTCCGAAGTGCATATTATGTAAGAAGAGAAAATACGAGCGCTCGCGCGCGCGCGGTCCGGCTCGACGGAACGCGAAACATGGTTGCTGCAAAATTGGCGAGTGCTCGAGGGTGCGCATTCTAACTATCGTTATGACGTAAGAAAGATTGTTTTGTTGATACAAATTGGTACTTTGGAAAAAAAAACAAATTACGCGCGGACATTTCGTACGAAATTTCATTTGCTTTTGAAGAGATACCTCAATTTGTTACCCGAGGTGAGACGCGTGCGCGAGAAAAAAAAAAATAACAAATGTCTGGTTTCCGTTTTTTATGAAGATACAATTAGCAAGGTGAATGATTCTTTCCTTCGGCAGAATCGCCGTGACCTGCCCCTCTCTCTTAATCGTTGATCCGTAGTTTAATTGCGCCACAGATAATGCGTTTAGGAGCAGAAACGGTCTGCCTCGTTTAATGAGACGTGTAACGGGCGCGCGTCGCTTCGAGCGTGAAAAGGAGGTGAGCGTCTAATGAGGAGTGTCGTTCGAAAATTTTCTACTGATGTTTTTTGCGAAAATTGCACGTTATTTAATTGCGCGCTTTTACGTTTGACTGATCGTAGTCATTTGACGAACATTGTCTGAAATTCGAGATATTTAATCGAGCGAGATAAGATAGATATGCTGCCTCGCGTTCTCTTTTCTATGCGAGAATATTGTACAGAAGGGTGATTTAAGCTCGAGACGAGGGTGCTTTAACGGATCCGCTAAGGCGAGCGAGATCTCTTGGATATGTACTCTCTTTGTGAATAATATTTTCGTCCGCATTGCAGTCGTTTCTGCCCTCTTCCTTTTCTCTTTTCAATATGTATGATATATATATATATATATATATATATATATATATATATATATATATATATATATATGTATATATACACGCCACATATTCAAAGAATGACAAAATATTGGAATCACGTTGCTATTTGTCCAATGCTGTTGATATAACGGAGAAGATATTCGTCGCATTTGTTCGATTTACTTGAAAGTCATTGCCCGACTATCGATTGTCATCAATTTATTCGTTGAAACAATTATACCTGAATAAAGAATGGTACGTATTCGATAACTTGAAAAAAAAAAATTTTTTTATAATACATTACGAAATACTATATTTAATAATAATATATTTAAAATAATGTTCGCTCGTAACACGTTATTGTTACAACGCTAATATTTAATAAATATGAGAAAAAATGTGTAATATATAATTTTGTTTTCTCGCGTCTCTCGAAGTTTATTTCGTTCTCGAATCACGACGTACGAAAAGATATTTTCACAGTTTAGCATCTCGCGTTTCAATTCACTGACTCGATGACAGAACTGGGTTAATTCTGTTTAACAGTTAACGAGCATATTTTCCTTTCTGACGAATGTTAAATCGCAGGATTCAAGCGTATGTACCGGACGCGGCATGATGGCGTCTGTCGAGTCGATTCTACAGCGCCAGGCGAGAAACAACGAAGCGCTCACATAAACCGCTGAACCGAACAAAACACTCTTTGGTCAGCGCTTTAAGCTGACAAAACAATTCCGTCGGCGGAGTGGCAAATACGTTTGCCGGTAGCCAATGTTCCAAAAGAATTCCATTTGTCTCGTTGTGGCAAAACGGATGCGTCGAGCGTAAACGATACCCTCGCGTTTTATATCTCGCGTTGAACTTAACGCGTAATTTCTTCGGCTGATAACGTCATGCTGATACGTCATATGATGTAATCTATCGGAGTCTGTTTTTATTAAAAATATGTGTCTACATTACAATCACATCTAGAATATGAAAAATATGAAGATTACACACAGACTGTTTTTTATTTCAAATAGATGCACATAAGTCAGGTTATACATCATATTTTCTGTTCTCCGTAGAATCGTGGGACAAACCGTTTCTCGAGCAACTCTAAAAAAAAAGAAAAAAAAGAAAAAAAAGATTCAGCAAAGTGCTCATCTTTCTGCTCGGTGGTTCTTTTATCCGTAAAGAAGGTAGAGATTCTCTCTCCTTATAAAATGGAAGCTCTCTTTAATATTCGAATGAAATAAAAACACGTGGCTGTGTATTTTTTAAAATATATTTAAAAATATATTTTTTTTTAATATAAATGAGTATAGAAATTTGCCATAATTTAGCAGTGTGTTAATCAACGTCAAAAATAGCTTATCAAAGTTTCTTTTGCGTCGCTTCAAAATAATTTCAAGAGTAAAGAAAAACTGATTGAAAAATAAAAAAAAAAACTTACTTTATATTTTTTAATGCTCTTTTTTTCGACAGATAATATGCGATATCTGAAAAAGACGTAGCAGACATCGGCGAAACAAAGAGACACCGTGAAAGTTCTACGACAACATCGCGTTTCCTTTGTTCAAGCAGTCCCGCCACGTGACGCGTCGCGCCGCACAACGCCAAAGTCTCCGACACTGTGGAGGGAGAGCCTGAAGCCGGTACTGCGATGGATCGATACAGCACCAAGGGATAGTGTTATGGGGGTGGTTGGCTCGTAATACACGGGGGCTTGCCGCTATTCCGTGATGGTTGAGAGAGGGAGCGGACAAGAGAAGTGGAGAACACCCCCCACGTACATACACACACACACACACACATACACACACGCGCGCACACACACGTACGCACGCACACACAATACAAGAGAGAAAATGTAGATGCGCACTCTTTGCTCTAACCTGGAGACAGAGCTATCGCCAGCATCCCATTCGTCAATCCTCGTCTTTCGTCGTTGAAGTTCTTTTCTCTTTGTTCGAGTTCGTTAAACTTCCAGTCCGACGCGACTTCGCAATTTCGCATGTCAGACTTCGCACTTCTCTCTAGACCTGCATCCCTTAACTGCTTCCACTTTCTTCCACCCACATGCTTTTTGTACTTAATTACACGACAGATACTCGTTCTCAAGAGAAATTCAGTTCGATAATTTTGTATCTCGTATCTTAATAAATTGTTCCGCGATCATCTGCCAACATCGACAGACGGTCTGACTAGATGACGGAACTTACTACTTGAACACGCATTGATTTTTTTCAATCGCAGTCGGTGGACAATAATTACGTAGTTTGCTTACGTACTTTACTCTCGTGTTGTTGTTCCTCGCAAATATTAAAATAATACCGTGTTCGTTCGACAAGTTTAATTTTAACAGAAAATATAAACACACAACGAAGTTTTTAATTTAAACATCTCTTTTTTATGTGATTTCTACCGTAATTGTTTAAAATTTGTTAATTATCTGTTACATTGCCAATATACATTATTTTTCTGTTAACGTTTATTTTCATGCTTTTGCATAAATAATTACACACTCCACATTATTATTTCAATTACAATTTAAATTAAATGTTACAAAACTTCAACTGAAAAATACACATTTATTATAAATATCTTAGTAAAATGCACACACACGGTATATTATATTTTTCTATATACTTAGCGGTCTGAGTGATGACTTGTCTGGCTAGATACATGTTAATTTAAAATGTATGTGAAATAGAGTTTGTCTTTTATTCAACACGAATTTATTTATCTTTATATTTTTTATGATTTATAATTGTCACAATTATTTTGCTGAAAATGATCAACATTAAAAGTGATCGAAACGTTCACGGAATACACCGCTTTTTAATTTGTATTTAAACGTCCACTCAGGACCTAAGGCTCTTTGGGGTTTTGTGTCTGTTTTAATTATATTTTTCTACATAATTAATTAAAAAATTATATCTCATAATTTATTTGCGTTGTTTCATCGCGCTAATTAAGTAAAATTAGACGTTCACCCTGATTGAGAATGATACACGTCAAGATCGAGCGAGAAAATTGCCTGAGCGGCCCCTTGCAACGTCGCTTATAAAATTAAAATCTCGGCTCGTGTCGCGATCGTTTTTCCAAACATAGCGATGTTTCATCGCT